TGACGATATTTCTCCATCTGCAATTTTCTGCAGTTGAAATATATGATAATAAATACCTCATATTCTAACTACTCTAGATTTTAGATAAAAAAACAGCTGTAAATAAATATTCATTATTTTGTACTGGTGATTGATTTTTGTTTGTACCTCAACTACTGCTAGTACTTTCAGACTTCACGTAGGGAGATTAGTGCAAAGCATGGTATCAAATAAAACGGTACAAAAATTTTGAACGTTTTTTTTAATAATTCACAGGTTTTCTTTAATTTGAATAATGAAGAATTTAACGCATGAAGAGTTGCATAGATTTTTTGGAGAATTATGATTTGCATGAAGTAATTATTTTAATTCTACGATAGGGATCTCACGGTAGTAGCAAATTCATGTAGGGAACGCGAATTTGGTGTTTGTTAGTACCAGCTAACAGCAAAACCAAAATAGAGTACAATTTGCGCAGAATGAATAACATAATTTTATTATATTTTAGGATTATCCTCAACTTTACGAGGCCTAGCGACATATATATAGTTCATACATTTCCTAGTTAGTCGAGATGGCGACAGGTTCACGCTTGTTTGCGGGATATTTTTTCGCCTTTGAGCCATTCATTTGATGTTCTTTTCAGATGTAGTTTCCATTTTCCTGTCTGCAGTAAAAAATAAATACAGTTTACCGTATTATACTACGCTATTGAGCCGGCCAGTCAGAACGTTTTATGAACATATATTGTGTTCGTCAAGCGTTGTTTTTCGAATGTGCTCTTACTGAATCAGTATAAATCGATCTTATGCCGAGAGTATACATGAATACAAAAATTAAAAAAAAATCTTCTTTTTGATTGTACAAACACACTTCTCGGAGCTCGATCAAGTGTTGCACACCTATAGTTAAGGAACGAGGTTCTCACAACGTAAAATTAAAATACTGAAGATTGAGAACAGACTACACACTAAACATAATCTTATAGCAAAATTACATCAATCGCTCGATAACCGTCCTAAACAGAACAAAGGAGCTACGTCGCTCTTGTACGTCAACTAATTTCCCACAATCTTTCCCAAGACTGCAATATTTGTTCAGATTTCTCAGTAAGCGACAAAGGGCCACCCAAGCTTGTCCCTCGGGAGCACAATGGAGGGACGAGAGGGCCTCCGCTATTGCATCTCAGACCCCCTCCCTCGCCAGCGCCCGCAATCAGCGTCACTCTGAACGCCGCAGAACAAACCCCTTACACGCGAACTGTTGTCACCACGACGACACGCCACGATAACAAGCATCTCGTCACCACACGCAACGATAACAAGCTCCTCTTCACCACATGCCACGATAACAAGCGTCATCACTATTTCACCAACAAATAAAAAATTCTGCTCATAGTAAGTAATCACTGTAATGAGTTGTAATAGAAGCAAAATCACAGTCGGAACATACAGGCTCATGAAAACCGCTATCTAATTGTGGCAGATTTTAAATTGAAACGCCTAACAAATTACAACGGGGCCCTGGGATATGATAATGATTCGGAAAGTTCGGGTAGAACTAGGAAAACTTGAACAGGCGACATTATCAAGTAGAATTGATTGCAGCACAACTACTAATTGTCGACGAGCTCACGAGAATCCCTTGGCTGGCAAGAGTTAGGAGGTAAATAGCTGCTTAAAGTCTACTTGCATGTACCCAAATACCGTTTAAATTTCGGAATTGGTCGTGATTTGTAACGATCACATAAGAACGAGCTAACCGACATACGGTAGCGAACGAGCCAGGGGATCGAACCATCGCAACCGATGCTCATGCAAATTGCAGCCCACCAACGACGTAATCTTTCTTTTCCACTTGATCGTCAAAGTCGCTAGTCTGCCAAGACTGAGTTTAAGCTACTGGCTTGACTGGAGATAATCAAACGTCTTGATTAAGCCCACCTAAGACTTGAGATCAATGAGCTTTGATGGATGAGTTGCCGCCAAGTCTTGGGGCAGCGGGACCGTCAGGCCGAGCCTCACAGGCCCGACCAGATTCAGGAGCACGCGCGAGGTCCATTGAAGTGCCTCACGTTTGCTCTCAGCCACTCAATATGCAAAAATTTGCCTCTGAAATTCTTCATGTATGTGAAATTCGTCTCCTGAATTCATTCGATATTTTGTTTCATAAATGGCAGCCAAATTTTTGACCACTGGCGTGAGAAATATTTACAACCCGTAAGATTTTTGTATACTGTGATTTAAAACTGGACCTTTCGCGTCCCCGCTTCAAACAATGTCGAGCAAGAATATTTCATCCTTGTTAGCAGTGCATTTTATGTTGTTATTAACTGTATATCTGAGAAGTTGAACAGCTCTCATTATTCACATGATAGTCATCGAATAATCGGCAAAGTTAGAGATGATTCTGAGTGTTCGCCGCTGAAAATTTAAATGTAAATATTGCCAATAAATTATAGTTAGGAAAGAATTGATTCAACTAAACAATAACAAATCAAATTAAAATGAATCATTCATTCCGCTTAACACAACTTTTGAAGAAAAATTTTTCTTTTTAACATCCGAGCCATTAAGTTTCCGACGACATTTGATGGCTCATTTCAATTTACCTACATGTAAATTTGACGCGTGTTCAGCGAAGATTAGACTCATGGATGCTTTATTTCATCAGTTCTTCCTCTCTGTTATAAGCTCTGAATCTGAGGTTAAACCCAAAACTTTTGCACCTGTTTATTGCTTATTTAAACGAAACTTTACACACAAAAGCAGCTTCCGACACTTAATTAATCAATGAAGTGACTTGCCAGACCCTGTTTATTAAAGAAAATTATTATGTTCCTAAATACCGACGACCATGTGTGTACTTCAAGATTTGAAACTAGCAAATAAGAAGAATAATCCAGAAGATAAAATCAAAAAAGTTCGTCACATCTCAGAGTAGCTCAGTCTGTTCCTCGATCGTGCACGAGCCAAAAAAACATGATTGCTTCACTGCCTTCAATGATGTACAGTAAATAGTCAATAAACACATAAATAGACCATCAACGTAACAAAGTCCGTTTTACGCCCGACCTTTCATCGCCCTCGTTCGTAATTTAGGACTTTTGGTGAGCGGCCGCCACCTCAAAGCAGTCAAAGAAATTTTTCAGCTGCTGCCGACACGCTCGGTTTGACTGCGCGACGCATCAAAGGCTTGGACAGCGCAGCGCTGTCATCGCTAACCCTGCTTGTGATGAGGGAGCGGAGCACGTTGAGTTACTTCCAAATACGCATTCCTGCTTTACCTGACACACATATGCCAGATAAAAACTTCCAGAGGTTAAGCAGTAATAAAGATCATTTCAATGCTTGCAGCCGAAATTAGCAGCGATTACAATATACGATAATATTTTCTATCTAACAGGCATGATTTCAACAACGTCCGCGAGTTCCAAATTCTCTCTCGAGGTGAGCTCAATAGATACTCTCGTCATGGGATCACTTAAGTACTGAAATTCCTATTGCATTTAAGCAAATAATAATAAAAATATGGCTATACACATCGCACTAGAACCACATTCGCAAATAAATACTCACGGAACATGCAAGAAACAACGACACACACACGTAATACTAGCAGAGGTCGGCACACAACACGCGCTTCATTTCCTCGACATGAGCGCCGTCCGAAATGCTAATGCCGCCTGGCCTGCACCTCGCGTAAATCAATGGAACGTGGCAGTCTCTTGGCGTGAATACCTGACGTATGTGGACTCTTGCTGATGAAAACTGCGTCCGAGGCACGAATGTCATGCTGGACTTCTTGTGCGCTCTTGACAACATACAAGTATAATGTATCAAAAGTTAATAGGGCGAATGATAGTAAATAAATGCATAGAGTGGTAGCATTGCCATGCATATTAAGTTGTTGCATACTAGAACGTGACGTCTGCATTATCTTTAAACCTAGAACACCATTAATTCTGAATTAAATATAAATATTTTGAACACTAAATTCTGCGGGGCGCATCAGGAAAAAATTAATTGGTATATGACAAATAAATAGTGCATCGTCATGCTGAATTTAGCAACAACTCGACAAAGATATTTTGAAGTCATTTGTCCACATGTGATAGTTAAATGTTCGGTGTAGTTTCCGTAGATCAACATACGCTTGGATGGGCAATACGACGACAAAAACTCGGTTAATCGCAAGTGATGCATGTTCACCGAACGATAACTTCTGTGCAATATACGAAAGTGGAAAAGAACGCGCACAATTTGATGGGGAAACTTCTAACGATATCTTGTGGCTGTACATCTAACGATGCACAGCCAGCCAAACAAGGGAAGATGGTTTGTTCGCTGTTTGGTCACAGCGACTTTCAATAATTGCGAGTTGATTTCTGTTACACATTTAAATTTTAATAGATCCCGCTTTAGTGCAGGAGTTTTGAAACTTTAATTCACGCAAACTCACTGCTGTTCAGACTGAACACTATAACAGAGAAATATTGTTGCATTGAAATCTCCACTTATATTTCTTACTCAATATTGGCAGATGGCTCAGATTTGAAGCGGTACATTTTTAAATTTTCTTATTGCAGTTAGTTTTGATTTATGTAGACTAAAATCACTTTGAACTACGCATGATAAACAACAAAAATAATTCAAAAACAAACCCTACAGGCAAAGAAACTTGTTTTTGCTGCAAGTCTAATTTGGAGCAATAGGGTACAAGGTAGACTCAAATTCCAAGATCTGATCAATGCACACAAGACAAAGTTAAAAGATATATATCACTCGCAAGCCTGGACGTGCGAGTGAACTCGCCCCAGGTCAGTTACTCGGCATTCTATTAATACAAGCACGTGTGGGAATTGCTCATTATAATCATGAATTCACTGCTTCAATGTGTGAATTTTGTATTAGACCTGCAAATTTGCGATATAAAATGAATAACTGCATGTCGCTGAAGCTGATTACGGTCTAAGAACTTTTAAATGTAGTATTTATTTATACCAGTAGCTTAGAACGTACCACAACGTTGACGAGTTGGTAAGCTGATGTCTTGAGTCAAGTGATTTATGACGTCACGACAGCACCTCGCACATATACACAGTGAACGTCAGCTTTAAATGCGCTCAAGTAAATAAATAAGGGACACATAGCTCTCTGCTTACCCCGAGTAGGGCGATCCACAGGATCAGGTCACCGTTAAAGGATTCTACTCACAAAGGTCACATTTCATCCACTAAAAAACAACGGAATTTCCGCCATTGCTAAGTTGCCTGAGGTGTTTCCCTCCAAAATTTGTATAAATCCTCATTAAGCTACAAATTCATTTAAATCGGAGCATTTATTTTAATTTTTCTGGGGTCATAGCGGAGTTTTTGATTTCTTAGAGTGTATATAAATGGTCTACTCTGTGTATTTGCAATGACGATACCCTAGACGGCACGGCCAGCAGCACCTTACCGCACGACAATCTCGTCAGACTGAGAGACCTGCAGCCGTGAGCCGGCTGGCCTTGGAACCCCGCGCTGCCAGACGTGCGACGTTCCTACTGATCGATAGGCGAACACACTGCCGGAGCCCATGACCGTAGTAAGGCAGGACCAGGGAAACTTGCCTACACTTGATGCTTTTCAGGACTCAAGTTCAACCAAATTTACTATGAATATTAGTGGATAAAAGTATCACTTACTTGTACTATTCAATGTATTTGGCAAAATTTTAGAGAATCCAACAGACATTTAAATTTATATGATTTAGTAAAAAGATGAACTTGCCTTTAATTCAGTTTTGTATTATACCCTAACAATAGTTTAAATTCATTCTGGTAAGAAGAAAATGAGAAATTGCGCTAAAAATATTAGGGTGCTTGCAAGTTCCTATTAGTAATTTTTTATCTATGCTAATAAAGCTAATAAAAGTTTACCAAATAGAGCTGATGGAAGAAAATAGTGGAAATCGAAACAATTTTCAAGCCTGGCCGTGATTACCGCTAAGCAAATAGAAAAATCCTTAAAAGTGAACAAGATCGTCGCAAGTTCTGTAGTCTCCATCACACTTCTGCGGCCCAGCTCACACCTGCCCTTCCTTACCTCGGGCGATACTTTTCAGGCGATGAGAAAATCGGTTCATAATATTATTCAATATTCATTTTGTATGTATTGGGAGTGAGAAGCATTGTTGAGCACAATAGCCGCTCGTGCTGCCTCTAATGCAGCCGAGGCTCTGCAGCAACAATGCGCGCGAGTCCTCGTTGTGAGCGGCGCACGCAAAGCAGCGGTGATGCGCACAGCGTTGGTCTTTCGGGGGCATAGCAGCGCCCAACAAAAGAACGTTCGAGCGCCCAGTGTCAAAGTAATGGCGATGTAGCAGCGAAATAACGTCTCGAGGGCGTCTCTTGCCTAGTTTTGTACCGCAAACGAGGCTGTGAGATGCGATGCGTCGTGAGATTAGATCGTTTACATTACGACCACGCCGCGCACTCACGCGATATTCTGCGCCCGCACGAGCTGTTCTCCCGCCGCTGTACCCAGCAGTTGTGATCACTGCGCCTGGTCTCCTCACATTTGCCTATTGAGTTTTGTTCTATTTTATCCTTTTGTTTTATTTTATACCTTATTTAAGTGCCCAAATAATTATGAAGACAGTGTTCACGAATGGTTTTATCTGTCATTCTACTTTTTTTTATCAAGAAGAAGAATGCAATTAAATTATTTATGATTAAATTAATAAAAATGCTGTTCCTTACCTTCATTTAACATAACATCAGTTAATGAGAATCATTGTCGCCGCTACATGGTCGATAAATCGCAACAAGATGCGGGGTGATGCATTAGTTGCGGTAGCCTTCGCTAAACTAACTTATTATGCAAACAAGCCTCTCTCTCACGGAATAAAATCTAATCCAGCGCAACAAGAAAGGCCTCCCGGATCCATGAATTTCAGATGGAATTTCTATTAAAATAATGATCATTGATTCATGGGCCCTGCTCTTAGGTGCCTAAACATGCTGTTCAGGCTGACTTGTATAATTCACTGTCGTGTAATTACGACCTATGTAATTATGTATTGTGTCGAAATAGTAAATTGAAGGCGAGCATTAATAATTAACGCGTAGTTCTTCGTCTTGTCTCGAACTCCGCAGGATTGACGACTGCATCATTGATATGAAACGCAGCAACTCGAATGAGTGCCGACTCTCCCGAGCCTTTATTTTTCATGACCGCTCGTGCTTCAATTTTGCCGATGTTCCTCAATTGATTAAGATTCTTTTGATTAAGAGTCTTTGTTTTGGCGCCTATAAAGCAAGCTTTGGATCAGCTGCACGTAGCACAAACTCTCGGTCCTGGGGCTTAATTGGAGCTCGACATGGCGCGCGGCCACAGAATTGTCACGGGGGCTTTCGATTTGCATGATGATTTTAATTCCTGGTTTGCTTTATGAACGAAGTTTTGGTTGTAACTAGTGCTGCAGTTAGAGACGAGGGCCTGAACTATTACTAGTTTGTTCTTGAGTCGCAAGAATCAACCGCAAATGAAATATTGTTTTTGTTAATATAATTTAGTAGTTAAGCTGCGACTTCACTATTCAATTATCAACAGCTTTTTTGACCATATGCGCAATATATTCTTTCGTTGATCTATAAAATCTCATGAAATGCAATAAAAGAGGTGCCAGTGATTTCTCAGTTCAGCATGGAACCCTGGGATGGAATTTATTGAGGCATATTACGATATTAGTGTAGTTAGGCAGTAGCTCTTCCAGATTGAAGACCAGAGCGTATTTTCATTAACAATTTTCTTATTGTTTTTTCAATAAGCCGAACGAAATTTCTTGCTGGTGCTTGGAGATCAACTGCGTAACTGCATATTACGTATTCCGATACATACGATACCAGGCAGCTTCTTTCTTGCTCTTTCCTTGATGGCATGAAGAATTTAGTTGTAATCAGAATTTCGAAATTAAACCTTAGGCCGTATAATCAAATCTCGCGCTCAGGTGCAAGTAGTGACAGATTGGTGGGTTTAGCTCAAAACACCGTATGTGATTGGCTGGTGGAGCGATGTGAACGCGTAACCATATTTGAAAGTATGGCTCTGCTAAAAAATGCGTTAATACTGCGAGGTAAATTCACTTCAAACGCATTAACTCAATACCAACTGTTTTTATCTCTCGAATAGTTCTTGTTTATAACGTTATGATATGCTACTGCTTATGAGGTCCACGTCTATACTACCCACGTCGACAAATACCTGAAGGAGTTCCTGAAAGGGATTGACCTCTTCTTTGACCATGCGACGATGGTTGACGAGGTTGCTGATCCTTACGGTCCTTATAGGCGTCAACACCGCCGGTGTGGAGGAGATCGGTGAGTTACCCCGCCGGTGTGGAGGAGATCGGTGAGTTACCCCGCCGGTGTGGAGGAGATCGGTGAGTTGAGAACCTCGCGGTGAGTACAGCCTCACCCTCGCCTGAGCATCTATGTGAGTTGCTTTATAATGTATTACCGTAACATTCAATATTGCCAGCAGGAATCATTGGTCAGTATCCTCATTAGAAGAGCCTCGATCATACGATCTTACTTATAATCTTTCTACCAAGTTTTACAGCCTCTATGACATTTTTGTTTTGGTTTGCCTGCAGTAGCAGGAATCGTTAGCAGGAATTCTGAGTATAACTTCTAATCGAGCGAATGAGCTATCCAGAAGCTTTTCCAGCGAAGGATCTCATAAGAGGTTTCAAATTAAACGAAACGTATGAGATTTTTGAGAATTTTTTGAATTAACTTATGAAATGATGATCGCTCAAAAATGATTCAGTGCTCTATAATTGAACCGACACAAGCTTTCGTACATAAAGTGTATTACAAACCGAGAACAGTGTCAGCTGACTTATCAACTTAACTACTAATGAATAAACTATTTTAACGATTCTCATATTCACGTCATTCTCAACATATTTTCTTCACACATGTTAGCGTCAATTTCTGCATTTTATCTTCTAATTTTAGCACACAGATGAGGAGTAATAAAATTAACACAACAAAAATCCTGTTTATGAAGCCAAAATATTTCTTTACCGTTTTCTCAATTTAATTGTCTGACTATTAGTGCCCCTATAAGTAGTAATGAAAAATAAAATGCTTATTCAAGGCATTTACTTCATCAATCTAAAATAGGTAAGCTAGCGTCATTAAATATATCATTGATATTCTCAATTTTTTAGACTCGTTCTGGCCTTTCTTGGCCACAGTTGGAGACGGTATAATGTAGTAACTCATCGGTTAGCAAATAATTCGAATTTTCATTAACAATAAACATTTCCACGCCGTCTTAAACTCCCATAGAGCAATAGAGGTTGCCATGTAAGTGTTTCTTTCTAGTGTTACAAGCAACCCTAGAATCCAGCTCATCTTGGTGAATGTCTCTTTGAATTGAGCAGTTCTTAGGGAAGTGGGGCAGCGCGTGGTGTCTGTTCTCACGCACGCAGGGCTGAACGCCCCCAGCTGCTCCCATGTGATGGTTGCACAGCCGGGGCCTGAGCTCCAAATCGTGCATGTGAGCTCGTCGGTTTTGTGAGAGCAATTTTCATAATAAACAAAAAGATGGTGCGTCCTGCAAATCTTCTAGATATATATTACCATACTTCGAACTATTATACTGTATTGATGTAATCCGTTACGATAGCGTGTATTACTCGGTATTGACATCATTATATTGTAACGATATCATCATTTGACCCAGGCCATTAAGAGTGACCCAGCACTGCAGGGCAGCGGGACGCTGAGCCTTCTGCCGCACGACGCACTCTGCAGCAATAGCTCTGCAGCTGCCATGGACGCCATTGCGAACGACGTTAAAGCGGTAAATCAATGCTATTTTTATAATTCTATTCCAAAGATTTAGTGAGTGTAACAAAATAATAAGATACAAAGAAGTCCATCGTCTCAGAAAAAATATCTAAGCAGCATTTTTTATATTAAACTATACGGACTTGAAAGTATTGCTAGTGAGCAAATAAACTGCTTCCTGACAAAGAAGTTTTGAGAGCAACCAGTTCGGATTGATACAGTGAATCTCGATTATTTAACAAATCCATTTACTTGCAAAATTTTCATGTGTATTTCTTTGAGACTAGAATAATAAGCGGATCATTTCGATAAATTTTCACGATATTAAATAACACCAAATATTGCACAACCCCTGCAACAACCCCTGCAATGCGTTTTCATGTTGGTCTACTAGCATTTAATTTCAGAATTAATACCTCAGTGCCCCCCGCATCACTCGTACAT